CCTCTATATATATATATATATATATATATATATATATAATTATATATGCTGTATAGAAGTATACAAGTTCTGTAGACATGTGTAGCATGATTCTCATGACATTTTTTTTATATATAGCCGCTGTGGACAATTTAGTCTCCTTATGAATTACGTCAGTATTTATACGTTGCCGAGAAAGAATGCCTGCGCTTAATTGGCTATCAATTATCAATGGCTATTCATATTCATGTACCCGGCTGGAAAATAACTTTTATTTTGTTGTTTGTCAGTTGACATACTTTTCATGTTGAGCAAACTTGCCGGTGGGTCACAGGTCATGGTTGTGCTGCATGTGATACCTAGTATGTCTAAATTTTACCAAGTTGTTGACAACTTGGGTGGGTTGATCTGTGTACTGCATGCACGCCGGATGACCTAGCTTTGTTATTGATCCGACCGGTATGCAAATAAATGCCACCTTGTGCATGTAATGTGAGTAGCTGGTGCGTTGCTGTAATTATATTCCCCCAGCCACGGGGTTCCCATGCGTGAGCGCTATTCTTATACACTGTATCTATGCGAGTGCGTTCATATTCCACTGTGTATATACCGTGTAGTGCAGCTTTCTACGTTCGTGGAGAATTGTATTTCCACGTACACTGTACTTGTAAACCATTATCTAGTGTGCGAGACAGTAAACTTAGTTTTATACGAAATAATCGAATTTTGTTTCTGCTTTGCTGTGAGTATAACATGTTCAGACTTAGCGTTGGCACCATAGAAATAATACGTATGTGTCTCTAAATAATAATGTACAATGTAGTTCTATGGTTGGCACACGGTTTTGCTGCTACATCTCCAATGCCAAGGGGTACAGTCACAGACTATCCGTTAGTCTGTGGTACAGTGTACACTGTACAGTAATTTGCTATCGATCGGGCCTTGGCGTACACAACAGCTTGCCAGCCTTGCTGTGCAGCTATGACCTCCCGCGCTGGTACTTCGGCAAGCAATAATTTCAATGCATTTGGCATAGTTTGGCATACAAACGTAGGTATTGTCGGTCAGGGTCTGACCCGATGTGATTAGACTATAGGAAGTTATAGGAACCCCTATTTCACTCTACTTTGTCCTGGTAACACCAAGAGTAAAAGATGTATCATACAATTTAGTTTCTATCGTGTCTTATTATTAATAATTAGTTAATAGTTATGCAATCTGTATCATAAGCTTACTCTTATAAAACGCTTACAACTAAAGACCTGACCGCGTACAGTACGATAATACACGAGCACTGAACGCTTCGCGCACGGTGCGTGCGCGTCCGATAAGACGTCGAACCAGCGACTTTTGAACAGATATTTAGCAGCTACGTAGCGGGAGCTCAGGGACGTGTGCCTGAGGCGGTGTAGGCAGCAGGCGAGAAATACATGTCGCAATAGCCGCAATGTTTTCGCAACAGGACTGCTTACTCATCACTACTTGGCACCAAGCATCCGCCTTGCTCGTTTCGTTAAAATGTTACGACGGAGTTGGTGCAAATCACAACTATACTACGTACACTATAGCCGGATCACTTGCTAAATTAACTCTATGTGATGAAATGGCAGATTTGCTTCGCATGTATTTATCAGGCATGAGAACAGGTCGAGAGGTTTTTGGAGGAAATATATCAATTCGTGCCCAAGGCACGATAACAGCAGGGGCGTGTACAGGATTTGTACCAGGGGGGGTGGTGGTCTAACCCTAAAGCCCGGCGCACACGTGGCGATTTTTATCGAC